CCCCCCATCACACGGTCTCGAAACAAGCAATTGTTCTTTGTGTCTTTGATTCCCCGGTTCTCAAACTGTGGTACTCCCGTCTTGGTCTTATTGATTGTTTTCTTGGTTCGTCCCGAGTAGATCGATCGGCCCAGACACTTGAACATTTCCCGCGACGTCTCCGGACTTGGAGCGACTTCTGCCTACTACTTCGCCTACTGATCAACCATATACAACTCCCACCCTTTTAAATATTCTCAGTTATATTACTTGATTGATTGACTTTGTATATCCTGACCCTGTTCCCTTCCAACTAGTCAGCTTCTGCTGTTGACGCGACGTGTCCCGTCTCCATCTCCGTCTCATTACGTCCCCCACTCGACGGCCATCATGGTGCGGTTACCGTTGCCACAACGGCTCAGCACTCATTTAACTTCACGGAGTAATACTCCTACTCCCGGGCAAAGCAGAAGTACCAGTCCCATGAGGATACCAGACGCCAAGCCGCTGGTCCTAAAGGTGGTTGTCTTACGGGTAAGTGCGACCTCCCCCTGGATATCGGGCAGGGTTATACCATTTCGGTGCATTCCGGACTGCGAGGACTAACATGCTGAGCGTTCAATAAATAGGGGAGATGTCTTGCTGCCAAAGATCGAAATGGAACTAGCGATCCAGTAAGTGGTTCCCAGACATCTCGACTGTTCAAAATGCCCGGAATCGTAACTGACCATGGCTCGATCACTAGTACCTAGTTGTCACGCTTGGAGATGCGCGACAATCGACACCTACGATTCCGAAGACCCTGAATCCTGAATGGAACGTGACTTTTGAAATGCCAATCGTCGGTGTGCCATTGCTCGAGTGTATCTGTTGGGATCACGATCGGTTCGGGAAAGATTATATGGGCGAGTTTGACATTCCTCTGGAAGAAATATTCGCCGAGGGCGAGATACATCAGCAGGTGAGTGTTGGTTATACGACCAGAGACGAGGGATGTTCAGGCTGATGAAGCGCATAAGCCCAAATGGTATACCCTTACGTCGAAACGGAAATCGGGAAAGAAGAAGGACAGCGACATTTCAGGAGAGATTCTACTTCAATTTTCATTGGTTGATACTGCAAATCCAACAGCCCCTCCGAACGAGACCTATCAGAAGTTCAAGACACTGATCGGCTGTGGGGAGGAAGACGATGATTATCCGCAAATTCCTGCGACCATATCGGATGAAGCCGAAAGATCCGAAGACATATCCGATGAGGCCGATGAATTAGGAAGACCCGAGGTTAATGAGAAGCGCCGGAGAAGGCTACGTCTCGCGCGACTCAGGCGGAAGTCGCTGGCAGCGAGGGCGTATCAGTTCTCTGGTGCGGGCAATGGGGTACAGGGCATCGCGTTCATGGAGGTTGTCAAGGTGACCGATCTCCCACCGGAACGCAATGGTATGATACCATCGACCTTTAAATAATGTGTCCTAGCTGACTTGTCCTACAGTGACACGAACTTCCTTTGATATGGACCCGTTTGTTGTGACTTCACTAGGAAGAAAGACGCTTCGGACTCCGGTTGTGCGCCACAATCTCAACCCAATATACCACGAAAAAATGGTCTTCCAAGTTATGAAGCATGAGCAGTCTTATACCATCAGTTTTACAGTCATGGACCGAGACAAGTTCTCTGGGAACGACTTCGTTGCCTCGGCTAGTTTTCCCCTTCAAACATTGATCCAGGCTGCTCCCGAATCGGACCCGGAGACTGGACTCTATAAGTTCCTGGACACCGCGCTTGATCCTACAGGGTCTACCGAGTCTCTCTCTAATAATAAAGCTGGTATCAAGATCGGGATTAGCCCATCCCCATCGACTAGTAGCTTATCAAAACTGTCAAGACCAGGCTTGGTCAGGTCAAGAAGCTCTACAGCTTCCTTGTCGAACCAAGCCACGCAGGAGCAGTCGACGTTGCCACCACCATCAGCCCCGAAATCTATCCCGACATCAGTTCCTTCATCACTCCCAGAGGAGGGTAGTAGTAGCTATTTGTCAACGACGCCAACATCAGTCCAGAACGAGGGCAGCGTGATTGCCCCTCTTGAAGCAGATGGCCTGGAGACATATCGGATTCCGCTGCTGATGAAGCATAAAGAAAGATGGGAGGACAAGCATTCTCCGGAGCTATTCATCAAGGCCAAATACATGCCTTATCGTGCACTCCGGCAGCAATTTTGGAGACTAATGCTCAAGCAATACGATGCTGATGACAGTGGTCGCATTGACAAAGTCGAGCTAACTACAATGCTTGATACCCTTGGTTCCACACTGAAGGAATCAACCATTGACAGCTTCTTCGAGCGATTTAGTGCAGAGAATGAGGCCAGTGAGACAATGGATTTGACATTCGATCAAGCTGTAATCTGCTTAGAAGATACCCTGCAGGCACTACAGAAAGATTCCAGGACAACCAGCAGGGGGCTGACTCCAACACCATCCACAGGCAGTCAAGACAGCGAGGAGCCATCCAGCGACGACAATGATCTTGCCCTCGAATCAAGTACCGGCATGCCGGTCAATGCTGACCCGCAGAGAACAGCCATACCCACACTATCCAGTGAAGAACAGTCAATGACGAATGAGGAAGACCTTCAGCCCGATGACTTGGGTGATGAACGCGGCGAAGAGCATGTCATTGAACTTCGTGAATGTCCCCTTTGTCATCAACCACGGCTCTCAAAACGCTCAGATGCCGACATCATCACACACATCGCAACCTGTGCTAGTCGAGACTGGAGACAAGTCGACAACCTCGTGATGGGTGGCTTCGTGACCTCAAGTCAAGCGCAGCGCAAATGGTACTCTAAAGTGATTACAAAGATCTCGTATGGAGGCTACAAGCTGGGTGCCAACTCCGCCAATATTCTTGTTCAAGATCGAATTACGGGACAAATCAACGAGGAGCGGATGAGCGTCTATGTTCGTCTCGGTATCCGGTTGCTGTATAAGGGGTTGAAGAGTCGAGAGATGGAAAAAAAGAGAAGTATGTTCACTCCAATTAATTATCCGGAAGTTCCGGACGAAGCTGACCATTCGTGCAGTTCGCAAAATCCTCAAGTCGCTTAGTATCAAACAAGGCAAGAAATACGATGACCCCGCTTCCGCAAGTCAAATTCAAGACTTCATCAGCTTCCACCAACTCGACTTGTCCGAGGTTCTTCTTCCCCTAGAGAAGTTTAAGACTTTCAATGAATTCTTCTATCGCGAACTGAAGCCAGGCGCTCGACCTTGCTCGGCTCCGGACGAGCCCCGAATTGTGGTGTCCCCAGCTGATTGCCGATCAGTTGTTTTCGACTGTCTTGACGAAGCAACTAGTGTTTGGGTCAAGGGAAGGGAGTTCAGCATTGAGAGACTCCTCGGTGATGCTTATCCGGAGGACGTCCACCGCTACAAGAACGGGGGTTTGGGAGTGTTCCGTCTTGCACCCCAGGATTATCACCGTTTCCATATCCCCGTGGATGGCGTCATGGGAACGCCCAAAACCATCGAAGGTGAATACTACACGGTGAACCCGATGGCCATCCGCTCCGCACTAGATGTCTACGGAGAGAATGTTAGAGTCCTTGTCCCCATCGATTCGGTTGCGCATGGTCGTGTCATGGTGGTCTGTGTTGGAGCCATGATGGTCGGAAGTACAGTTATCACACGTCAGGCTGGAGAGAGAGTTACTCGAGGCGAAGAACTGGGATACTTCAAGTTCGGTGGAAGTACCCTTCTGCTTCTCTTCGAAGATGGAGTGGTAAATTTTGACAACGACCTGGTGGACAATTCGAAGGGCCCTCTCGAAACCCTGGTAAGAGTTCCTCCATTTACCCCTTGCTGGTGGTGGACTGTTTTTGCTAACATAAGCTGCCTCTGTCTTAGATTCGTGTGGGCATGTCTGTGGGTCACCATCCTGATATTCCTCAATTCGAACCCGACCTGCCGAAGAAGGCAGAAAACGTCACTGTAGAAGAGATGCAGGCTGCCAAGCGCCGAATCGAAGGTAGCTTGGCTCCACCAACCGATGCGTCCGAGTTTGCATGAGACTTGTTCATTAAGTGAGAAGCGTTCATTCTAAGGCGTTCCGGTGTAGCCTCAGGGGCCTGGTGCCATTCGTTCTGAGCAACTATCTAGCACAGCTGTCTGCATTGCCACTACTAACTAGTATTGATGGATTATGAGAGTCGACTATCGATGGGTGTGTACATGTTAGATATTTTTGAACATACAAATTCCCATGTCATATTAGTTATTTTTTTTCCGGGACTATGTGTCATCTATTTGATATTTCTCAGAGGATTATTTTAACATCAGACACTGTAGATCAAGAGTTGCGTTAGATATATTACGTAGTATACCCAAAGTAATAGACTAGACGATGTCAATCCCAAAATGGATTAGTGCGACTCCCCCACGCGCCACGACCAAAACAACCGCGTGCTTGTGGCGGCGGACTTGGAAGAGCCAAACCCCCCAGGGCTTAAGCACCTCTGCACAAGGAGCGCTTTGCGAAACTCGCCAATCCAAGAAGTCGACAATTCTCTGTTCCTTTTTAAATGTCTCGAGCGGTCGCTGTCAATTGCGGCTTGAAGTTAACGGTGTACTGGAAGGGCGCCTCCGATGTCAACCGGCACACGTCCCTCAACAGCCCCCGTTCCTATTGAAAGATACTGCCGGCTCAGTTTCCTGCGACCGTACAACCATTCTATCGCGGATCACCTATAAGAAATATAGGAGGAGACGCATTCAATACAACTTTAGTGACCGCTTAAATTCAATTCTGTATTGAGTGGTGAACGAGATCAAAGCGAAGCGATATCCAATACCGGCAAACCGAATTATTTGCAAGAGGATAAACTTACCCGCGATTTCAACACTACAGTTATTTCTCTTTCTTCGAAACAAACAAGGTCGCGCTACATTCATCTAACGCTCGTTATCTTTATTCTGCGTCTACGCCGCTACTCGCTTCCCCGCCTTTTCTAGGTCCTGACATGACCGCCACGGTTTTGGAAACTCCTAGGATTAAGACGAAACGTCGCGTACCCCTGAAGTCTATTGATATGGCAACGTCCCAGGCGCAGGCGCGTCCTGCGTCTTCTGCCGCGCCTGGCAGAAAGGGGACAAGGTCGAGTGCACGATTGAGTTTAAGCAGTGTGGAGAAGAGCGAGGAGAAAACGGCACCTACCAAGAGAAAACGTGAGTGCTCTCATTCGCCTTGAAGGACCATGCTATAGATGATTTGTGGGAATATGCGCTTGTGTGCGATGAACTGTTCGTGTGCTAATATTATTTTGTCGCTATAGAAGAGGCCTTCGATGAAGAAGATGAGGGGTTTCTTTTTACTCGCATTAAGACTAAAAAATCAAAACCAACGGTGGAGTCTATCCCGGAGATCTCTCAACCAGAGGTACCCGCTCCTAAACCGTCACCGAGGAGGGGCCGGCCTCCGAAGAAACGTCCGGTTGAGACGTCAGAGAGTGCGATAGCGTCGAAGAAGTCATCGGAGAGTTCGACCAGGCAAACGAGGGCGACTGCGAAACCTACTTTATCCGAACCAGAAACACAACCGGCGAGCGCCGCGCGCACAACACGCACAACACGCAGGCAGGACAATGGTGAAACAGCGCCAGTGGAAAAGAAGCGGAAGAAAGGCAGACCGAGTAAATCTCATGATGGCGAACGGAACGGTTTTGTTTCGCCCGAACCGCAACAGGCTGGGACATCGAAGATTACCTTACCTATGGCGGACACACCGGTCATACAGCGGAACAAGGAATTGAGGGGTGCGACAAAGTCAGGGAAAGGAAACAGACGGAGCAGCTTGGGGATGCGGGGACGCAGGGCCAGCTCGCTAATTGACTCCGGGGCGTCAAATGGTGGGTAACCTGTTCTGCGAGAGCTCAAGACGGTACTAACGGATTTAACAGCGTTGCCTCATGATCAAGTTGACACTGCAGAATTCTATAAGCACATTGCGGGTGATTTGCCGGAGCCACGGAGGATGAGGCAGCTCTTGATTTGGTGCGCGACTCGAGCAATGAGCGATAAACGAGGGCGCTCGGAGGATGCGAGCGCTCGCCTAGCGGGTGCGTCACGCCGAATTGGAAGTTTAGTCCCAGGCTAACGATGCTTTAGCGCGTGTAATCCAGGAGGAATTACTCAAGGATTTCTCTACTAATTCCCAGCTTTCGAACTGGTTCGAGCGAGAGGATGTAGATCCGCCGGCTGTCATTGTTAAGAAGCCAAATCCGAAGAATATTCAAAACGCAGATAAGATCAAGGAGTTGGAGGAGCAAATACAAAGGTACATCATCCTGAAGCATAGCGTCTCGAGACGTACTGACGTTTCAAAGGCTACAACGAGAGAGGCACGCTCTCAACGCACTTCTTCGACCACCTTCTATTCCACAGATCAAACCATCGAAACAGCAGGATACCACACCGGATGGCCAAAAAGACCCCCCGCAATCCGACGCTGAACCCAAACCTCGGTCAGAGCCTGAACCGATTGACTTATCTTTATTAGATCCTTCACAGCAAAATATCTATGAATCGATAGATCCCAGCTCCGCAAAGTGGAAACCTAATTCTGAGACTCAGACGACGTCATCATCAGAACTTAGCTTACCACCAGTAACACCATCGGCTATATCCACAAGGCTTTCCCGGATAACCCATGCTCTAGCGCCGACCCTCGATTCATTGGCGGCCGGCGTCCACGATATCGAACTTTACCGAACCATGTCAGACACCGTATCGTCGCGAGTACTGCGCGTCTGCGCCGAGCGACTGGATGAGCGGGATGCAGGAAACGCAATGCATCGAGTTGCGGCAGAGGAGGGCGAGAGCAAGGATCTCACCCTGCGGCTACGGCCGAGAGAAGACCTTGGTCTGATTCTTGGAGCATTAAGTCGGATAGAGAGGTGATAGGGACATATCGATGTTCAGTGGGGTCGAATGAACGTCTCCCTTTGTTATCTATTTCATTTGTATCCGGCCGGATTACAGTGGCCGGAGTTTGTTGGGTTCATTCATTGGCGGCATACAAGCAATGGAGTTGGGGTGTTCTGGACGGTGCTTGACGTGGATATGGCGGCTATGGCTACGATCGGACAGCAATTCACTTGACACTTTGCAAGGGACTAGAATACATTTTCCTTTGAGGATCTTTTATCTAATCAGTATGCCACTGTAAACATACTTCCATACGACAAACATCAAAAACGTTCTAGATTGATGCTACGGTAGCAAACTGGTCGATAAATGGTATGCTTCGTCCGACTGTATATGAGCTGTCTTGCAGGATGCTTTCAATCTCAGGAAAGCAAGACCTCATCCCAGGCACCGATGTTCTCATCCACTAGACCCATGGCCATCTAGGTAACACGATGAAGAACGAAGGTCAATCAATGGGGGTTATTTCTGGCGCCTTTGCTGTCGTTTAATTGTATTATTAGACTCCGGGTATGCCCTTCAGTTTACGACGTGTCTCAGTCTGCATTGCTGCTCTTTTGCTCGTTTGAGATCTTCCTTCGTTCCTTGTCTCTGTTCGTGGTGAACCTACCTGGGGTCAGTCGTGCTCTTGCAAGAGGCTTATAGCAGCTGAGGTGTTAATAGGCACTAGATTTTGATGTGCTTGGACTGTAATGTCCGTGTCGAGTCATTTTCTCTGCTGTAATTGTCCAGGGGTGTCAAGCTAAGTATCAGCATGTAGTTTATGTATATAATTGTTATCTCAGTAGGCTCAGCCGCTGCACTGAACTTTCTGATTAATTAGAGACAATTCAATCAGTATGAATCTATTTTAAAAAATAATTATATATTCAATATAGTATTCAAGAAAAAATAGTAGATTATATTATTAGATAAATATGGAGTATCTTCTTAGATTATTAAATTATTATTAAAAATTTATTAATAAATATTTAATTAAACTAAAAAAATAATTACTACTATATTAATATTTATATAATATAATTTTAATAAATAAATTACTATTAAAATTGATATATCTAACTGTTACGGACCCCGGACTAGTGCGGCATCAACAGATAATATACTGGCTACAGTAACGTTAAGAGCGGTAAATATTATTAACAGCAGAATATTACCCAGGCAATAATATTCCGGCACGTGAATATTATTGAACAAGAAATATTGTGACTATAATAATATTGAGAGATTCAATATTAGATAAGCTATAATAGTAATATCTCTCGGTATTAGTACAGTAATACTGAAGGATATATATTAATCTGATAATTACAGATATACTCTTTGTATAGTATATCTAGAACTGTAATAGATATCCACAGATATCATGTAACAAAGTACCAACTGAAGTAACATATTCGGAAAGCGAGCGTTCCACATAACCGAGTGTTCCACCCCTCCCGAATTCTACATATCTCATATTTTGAATCTATTCAAAACACCGAAAAATCTATATTTCTATAGAAAATTTAAATACCCTGACAATTAGGATATTGAGGAATTTTATAATCTAGAATACCGCAGTCTAAATATTTTGGTGGGATATGTACGCGCTGGCTTTCTACCGGAATATCTATATCTACTGAGACAGTAGTTATAGCTTTATTAGTAGAATTTCTGCTCTGTATAAGCTTCTGAGCTTCCTGAACTAAAGTATCTACTTCTATAGTAATCTGTCTAGTAGAGTACTTTTTCTTTTTAAGTATTCTTGTATTCGCGGTGTATAGTTCCCTGTTTTTCTGCTTTGTAATAGTAGCTTTATTTAAAACTTGTTTATAGTCTTTAAAAAGCTGTTTTATTACTATCTTAGTAGATAAATCAGAGTTTTTTATACAAGCTCTAAGCAGCTTCTTCAGTATAGTCTTCTGCTTTTGTAGTTGCTTTAGATTATAAAATATTTTAGATACTGAATCAGTAGATCTACTACTAGATCTACTATCTAGAGATATTGTTTCTAGCTGAATATTTAGCTGAGATAGTATATATTCAGGATTAAAAGAAATAAGATCAGTAGCTAAGAAACTGCTATAGATATTACTAGTAGTATATATCTAAGCTTTTACCTAAGAAAAGATTTTAAAAAAGTTAAATTTATTGATATAGTTAAAGTCTAATCTTATTTTATTTTTAATCAGCTATCTGTATATATATTTTAGGAGACTAAAGCAGTCTATATTAAATAGCTGAAGTAGATAAGATAAGTACACAGATATACAGAGTAGTATAATATTATTTTGACTGTATATATTGTTAAACTGAGATATTAAATAACTGCTGTAGCTATCGAATATTAAAAGATAATATTAACTAACTGTACAGTTAGTAAGAGATATAAACAGTTACTGCAGCCAATATAGATCTATTTTATCGGTAGTCCAGCTATTTGTATTTATTTCTATATACCAGTCGGGTAATAGATCTATCTTATATCAATCCTCAATATAAATCTTATCTTTAAAAATAATACAAGATAAAAAGAGTCCCCCTGGAGTTAATATACTTAATAGAAATAATCTATTCCCGGTTCCCTGGCTGCAGAAGAAAAGATCTATCAGCTAACTCAGTTTAGATAACTATTTTAGTAGTAGATATCAAGTCTATTACAAAACCAGTTTTATTGAAATTGTAGATATTCTCCGGTTAAATATTATACTATATTATAGTGATTTGTACGCGTTTAAACTATTTATTTAAAAATTTTGGATCCTTATATTTAATATACTGATAGTTATAGCGGTGAGAGAAACAGAATTTCAGCTTATCTCTGTGCTGAATTAGATTATATATCTATTTTTTATTGACAGTAGTAGGAGAAGTATCTCTATACTTAGTAAATAGAATATTGGCTATTTCTTGTATATATAAGTATCGAGAAGATACTCTATATTAGTCTAATAATAGAATTCAGTATATTAATAAATCCTCTTTATTTTGAGTTAATTTATAGCTATTGGCGTGTATTTCAGTATATAATAATATACTATTTAGTCAACAATATAGAATAGTATAAGAAATATTAAAAATATATACAGCTTCACAAATTGAGCTAATTTCTTGTTTTTTAATAGCAGAGATTACAAGTAGAACCCTGCCTTTCTTTTCAACTAATTCTTTTGAATTTTTAAGCGCTTTTGGTGGCATGGTTGGTAGTTGAATTAGATAGACTTTTTTACCACAGTCAAAACGCGTAGGGTGGAACGCTCGGTTACGTGGAACGCTCGCTTTCCGAATACGTTACTATAAATAGTATCTCGAGAAACTACACAAGATACTATAGATAGTATACAGAATAGTATATAGACTCAGGATATATAAAGATACTTATTTATATACTTAGTTTAGTTCTTTGTAATTAATCTACTCAGTTACTTGATAGCTATATTTAAGATTTGTATCAGCTCGGCTTATTTATATTATCCAATAATTGAGTATATATACTCAATTGGCCTGGTCTTCTTATCTTAGACTACTTGTTATAGTATTGTTAATATTGTTCGAACAATATCGATTCCTCTGTTTAATCGGTTACTAGTAGATTCTAGCCAACCGAGTAAGTCGCTTCTAACCAAGATTGCTAACTGGTCACAGAGTCCTTGGACAGATCCCCGGGCGTAACTAGACTGGCATTTGGCCAGGTTAGGTTAGGTTAATGGGGTCAGTTATATCTAACCGCTAGATTATAGCTAGATTAATAGAATTTCTATATCTAATTACAGTTAAATCAAAAATTAGACAGTTAATCTAGATTAACTATACTTGATACTAAAACTATTAATCTTTATTAAATATAGTAGATAATAAACTAGATTAACTATAATTAATCTAATATTAATCTTATTATTTTAACTGACTGTAAAAATATATTATTAATAATTTTAAAAAATTCTGTTTATTAATTTTATATAAAAAGAAAATATATTTCTTATTAAAAATTCTATTAAAACTATTATTTTTAATAGTTAAGATAATATTTTAGCTGATTTTAATTTTAAATAGCT